AAAACAGAAGAATCTCTGAAAGTTTCAGCGAAGAAGCCACCTTCTTGGTGAGACCTGAGATTGAGCTTCCCGACGATTTCTGAAGACTTCACCATCTCCGACGACACTTAACTCACTCACCGATCTCTCTCAAATTTCAAGCTTTGTTTAGACTCAAAAATCAAATCAAATCCAAAATTCTGTTTTGTTTCCTCTCTTTGTTAGTAGCCTGCCGTTCAAAATTGACTTCTCGGGGCCAAAGTAGAAAACTAGAAAGCCGTCTCTACACCTAACCACAGTTTTTATTAATTATAATAAACTCCGATATATTTGTGTTTCAACAATAAACACCCTTTCCAAATAAAAATGTTCATTTCCACAAAAATCAAGATTCCAAACTCAATGGTTTATTCATACTCAATAATTAGTTCACACACTTCTTCAAGTCATACATATTGTAACATCATTATTATAGCATATCCATATATTGGAGAAAATCCTAAAGGATAAAAGCATATTCATTGTTTAAACGTGCGATCTTTCAAAACGCTGAGCTACCACCTCTTCTAGACATCGTCTGGATAACTCCGTTCATCAGTCCTTGAACCGATTTTCCAACTCCGGCTCCTATGTCTTCTGCAAAATACTTCGCCTGCCACAATATGTTTAATATCCATATAATTTTTTTTTCATCCCAATGTTGTAGATTTCTAGTAACAAGAATGAAGCATAGCAAGAAAGGTTTTAACATTACCTCTTGAATGCTCTTCTTCAGATCAAAAGCATCTTTCACTCTATCATCCAAGAATGCCCATGTATCGCGATACTCTGCTCAAAACGAAATGATATCAAACTCCGTAAAATTTAAAAGTTGTGTCATTTTTCTTCAACCACATAGCAATGCGTCCAAGAGAGGAGGACTGAAACAAACCTAGGGAGTCATCGGTAAGCATGTAAATCTCTGTGGTTGAGTAAACTCCTCCAAGAATAGTACGCTTGACATACCAATCTAAATCCGAGGCTCCATCTCCAACAGCGTGCCATATCTCATCAACTAACATTGCCCGTTGCTTAAAACTCGTCGGGACGTTCATCGGATGCGCCTGTTTTTGTCAAGGAGATGTATGTAAAAACCAGGATTTGCTCGAGTTTATCAAGAAACAAAGGAAAACCACCCAAAACTTACTTGGATGCTAAGAGCTTGAGGCCATTTTGACATGTAAGGAATCTGCATTTCTAATCGAATTCTGATGAGCTTGGAGATACGCTCACTTGGAATCAGGTTTTGCAAATCCAGTCCAGAGTCTATTCTATCAATAAGCAATTGTAGGCATTCATCCATGAAGAACTGAACAAGAGTAACAAAAATCAAAGTCTCAAACTCCAGGGAGACCTCAAAATCTAACAGATTTCACAGAAATGTACTGATTCCAGAGAGTACTAAGAGAGATGAATTACCTCAACAAGTGCAGCTTCTTTCCTTGAGAAAGACCCAACAATGGAAGGAGACACACCAACATCTCTTGAACCAGCCATCATCGCTTCCTCCGTCCAACCTAATCTGGGCTGCAACAACACAGAAATCAATCTCCCAAAAAGACGAAACTTTGAGATGAATCTAGACTGTAAACACCCACCACATGACGGAGAGACGCAGAGAGAACACGAGCCTGCTCTTCCTGAAACTCAACCCTCGGTTTCCTGCCCTCATGTCGGCGAGATCCTTCCCCTGTAGCCGTG